TCGTGAACAAGACAGCATCTGACCAAATTCGTAACAGAGCCTTGAAACCCGGCGGATGGATCGAGTGCCATGATCTCTTCATACCCGTCACCTGGGAGGACGGCACCCCCGCTGTAGACCACCCGGTCCAGCGCCTATACGACCTCGTGAACGACGGCCCCTTTGCGCAAAAGTACGGCTGGCAGCTCTACTTTCCGCCGACGCTACCCCAAGTCCTACGGCAGATGGGCTTTGTCAACATCCAGGAGCAGCACACGCCGATTCCCCTGGGCCGGTGGTCACGGCGGTCGCGAGACCGAGAGATGGGCATGTTCAACCAGGACAACTTGATCGATTGGACTGCGGCGCTGCTCATCCGACACGAAGACTTAGGCATCACCGAGGAAGAGGCCAGGCAGCTGTGTCAGGAGACGCTCATGGCCATGGACAACACCAAGGTACATGCTCGCCTCGATTGGGGAATCGTCTGGGCACAGAAGCCGCTGTGATGAGAAACATGGAGGAGAAAAAAAGGAGACGAAGAAAAAAAATCACTACGACCTAATGATTACCGTCACAAACACGAGAAAATAAGGATACAGAAAAAAAAAGAGGGAAAGAGGTTGGGTTCTGTCGAACTGCTGAAGGAGGAGACAACAGCACTCCCGGCACGACACACGCATTGACATCAGCGTTGATGCGTGACTGCATTGGCGGTGTCCAGCCCGAACCACCTGCCGGCCACTTCGCAAACGTTACCTATACGAGCATCACGACGGGCCATACCCTCGGTGTTTTTGCCCTTCTCTCTCTCTCTCTCAACAATCTCTTGCGTGAGTGGGGTAGGCGTTTGCCTAATGTTCAACAAGACAAGCACCGGCTCCCAAGAGACTTATCGCCGACCCAGAAGAGAGGAGAGGAAAAAGGAGCTAAATATTACGGGACGAGCATAAGACGGTGGGGAGGCACCACATTACTAGCTATCCGACTGACCTCATGCTGGCAATTTCTCCCCCATCTCCATTTCTCGTCTGGTCTACTGCCGAGGGGCCGCATCACACGCCCTGGCAAAAACAAACTCATCACAATGACACCTCGACCACAAGAAACGAACAAAAAAAAGAAAAACAAATCATTACATTCCTGCATTGAACCGGGAACACGACTGCATCATGAGGGGGCAAAAGGGCATTTCGAGGGGACACTGATTTTACGGCGCCTGGGTTTTCGGGAGTACATGATCCATGTAACTTTTGGGAACGGAACGAAAGAAATGGCGTTTTCTTTCTTTCCTGGCTTGGCTTGGTTTCTGGGCTTGGTTCGGCATTACGGCGTTTCCTTTGCCTCATTTTTTTTTTCCGCGGTGCTTGTCCTCCCTTTTACTTGATTGTCTTGGGAGGGTGGATGGCATCTCAAAGAGGAATAAAAAACATATGCCCACTTTATTCCATGGATTTCATTTCTTATTATAAGGGAAGACAGGAGGGGCCACAGGAAATGTAGCTGTCGCCTTATTCTGGTTTCTTTTTTCTTCCTTTTTGGCGCTTTGGCTGATTGACTAATCTGGGATTCTGGGAGAGGGGGTCCTTGCGTCTGTCTTTACGGATTCCTTCTTTGTTGGACAACGGGCTTTTGTCTTTCTCTGTCCTTGTTGTGATTTACGGGTCGGGGTGTTGTCCTACTGGGAATTGTGCATCGGATACCTTACGGATAGACAGAACATTGTCGCTTGGTGCACTTGTCGCATTTGCGAGCAAAGCAGAAACGCAATATATCACTTCAAAGTCAAAGACGTCCACATCACGCCGATATCCATATTGATCTACGGTGTACTGCATGCGTCAAGGTATTTCATACTAAATACCAGAGTACCTGAGCACCTAGCTCCTTTGCCTACCAAGGGACCTGGCCTGGTCGTATTATAGCTGGGGCCCTGTACTCCGTAGATGGGATGAATGGGAGTGGATTGTGATCAGAGTAACGTGCGTGATCTCGCAGCATGACAATCCCCGGTCCTACTGTACCCCATTTTTTGGCTCATCTGCTCATCTATCTAGACCGTATTTCATTCTTTGCCCCTCCCGATGTCTCCTCTCCTCAGGTCATTTATCCTCCGCTTATTGTACCTAGTATATGGGACATGTATAAATGATGCTTTTCGTTTTTCCTCTTCCTTCATGTTTGTTGTTGTTTTGCAGAGGGGTCTATATAATTGGCTTGTCATGGCTTTGATGGCACTCTTTTACTTGAAGGGAGCAGCGGTATTTGTACCTTATGTAGGTTGGACGGGGGATCCCCAAAAATGTAAATTAACATTGCGGAACCCTTTTTTGGGATCTCGCTTTCGTTCCGGGGAGCATGGGAATGGGGGACTGAACGGATATAACACGCATCTGTCTTTTTTCTCTTTTCTTTTTTTTTTTTTTTTTTTTTTTTGGCCCTTGAAGATGCAGGATTTCCCACCCAACGCAACGAACCAACCACCCAACTTTGTTACTACTGACCCCCGTACCCTGTTGTACTTCCTAGCCCCAGTTTGAAAGGAAAAGCCTACAGGTAACTTATCACAAGTTACTCCGTACATTTATTACTGTTCATTTCCAAAATTATAAGTACTTGGAAAGGTTGGCTACCCTCTTGTTTTGAATGTCTCTAGAATAATGATGCTATTGCTGCAATGTGCTATTGGCTGCCGGTATATATATATATATATATATATATATATATATAGCAGCTTCATCTGCATTTCGTTGCTCGCTTCCCGCGTTTCTGCCTCCTGTAATACAACTTCCAGTTCTACTTTTTACAAGAAGCATTGCAGTGTCTTCCCCTTCCCGCGCAACAACGCATGTCCATATCACATTTTCTCGTAGGTATACCTACCCTCACCTTGGGTATCTTTTTACCAACGTACATGTATACTGCACTGTACCTTAGGTAGGTGCATATAGGAGTACGTACGTCCAATGTGACCGATCGGTTTGCCGGGGAGAAAAATGCACACACCCCGATATTCGTTTATTACCTCTTTCGTCCACCTCCAAGTTCGTGTATGGCTTTTCCCCCCTCCCTCGAAACTCGAACACACTCCCGTTCCCTTTTTCACCTAAAAAAGCAAAACCAGACCGAACCAACACCAACAAAACATGGCTTACTTACAAATAACCCCCCTGCCCCCCCAAATAATCCAATCTATGCAAACGCTTACAGATTTCGACTGCAGAAAATATCTTGTCTTACATGGAAAGAAAGGTCGAATGGAAGTGTATTTGGTTTCACCCAGAATCCGTAAATGAGAGTTGTGTGTGTGTTGCTTGAAATCTACTACCTCGTGAGAACGATATGAAGAAACCTTGGGATAGGTTTAACGTAGGGTCTACGTTATGAGGTATGTAGGTAAGGTAGAACCAGAACTGCCGTTGAGCAGAACTCGGACCGGCATGTGGAGGGACGGACCGGACGGTTACACTGGGAAACGTACTTGACAACCGTTCGTGGCAGGGGATTTCGCCATCTCGTCCAATGGCTACTGTAGGTACCTACCAACCTTACCAACAGAACAAGGACAAGAATGGCGATGGAGGGGGGGAGGACTTACAGTACATTCATGTAAGATACCTTGCCTTTTTCTTACCCTGCGCTCTATCATCCCACTCATCCCACCCCGGGCAGATATGGAATGATATATGTACTACCTTAGGTAAATAGGTAGGCACACATATGTACGACGCATGTTATAGATATATAAACACACAAAGGCAGTCTTCCTTTTTCTTTTTCCTTTCAACTTTTATTCTTTCTTCCTTTTCAACAAAAATGTGTTACCTTGGGGTAGCCTAACGGAGAATACACATCGGCAAATGGACATGATGTTCCCTGTCTCACCTACCTTACCCATCATCTTCACCCCCTGGCGTAATCTGGTCATAATCATACCTCAACTGCTCACCTCCCAACTCGTAACTTGCTTACCTTTGCCTACCTAGCTATATAAAGCGCAGCAACTCGCGAGTATCTACATCATGTGTAAAAAGTGTCAAAAAGCCGTACTCATAACCGAAAAAATCCAGCATGAAAAATAAAAAGAACCTGGTCTACTTTACAAAAAGTAATACAAATACAAATCCAAGTACAGGGAAGAAGGGGGGGAGAAAGGGAGGGGCATAATAAACGGGCATCGATGCGACGGCAGTAACACGATCGCAAGTCACATTGGCAAATACATACCTTAGCCTACCAGTAATCACACAAATCCCCGTTCTCCAAGTAAAAGTAACTTACCTTGCCTAGGATATCCCCATCGATCTCGTCCCAGGGCAAAACCCGGCTGCCGCGCTCTTTTTTTTTTTTTTTTTTCACACACCTTGAAAGAGACGAGGGGTTTGCGCAAGTTTGTCACAGGGCACTTCGACGGCATAAATGTGACGTTTCCCCGGGACGACAACCCCCCCAAGCCCTTCCGGAGCGAATCTACCGCTTCGTACCAAATAATTACCAATGAGAGATGAGCGTAAGATTCTTATTTCCTCCCCTCACCTATGATCAGGAAAGGGACCGAGCCCGCGAAAGCCGGGCGGAGCTTCCTAATTCCGTCACGCTGCAAACAGAGCACATGTTCATGCCGGCACTGCCAGGGAGCCTCAGACACCAAGCGGTCAGGGCAGCTCGTGGCGTTCGCGTGGCCGGCAGACAGGCGACGCCGAGATCGACGTCGACTGCTGACGACGGGGGTTCTGAAACGAGAAGCTCGGAGGATTATAGTATACGAAGTAGTGGAGGGTTCTATTAAGGGTCTGACTGCATCGAATAACAACAGCTCTGGTTGAGTGATGATGCTCTTGCTGCTTCCTTACCTTGCGTGTACATAGCTTCTAACCAGCGGATATCATAAATCGTATTCCAACGCGCAAAAGGAAAAGAACCAATAACAAAAGGCAAAGAGAAAGTGAAAAGAAGAGACTTGCCCCGGACTTGATGCCCCCTATCCCGCTCTCCCGCCAGGCTAATGCTGCACTCCCGCTCTAGTTCCCAAACATTCCTCCAGGTCCTGCAGGTCCCCCGGGCCCGCCGAACCCGCCCATGCCGTTCCCGAAGCCACCGTGGTTAGGGGCGTTGAAGCCTTGAAACGTGTCGGGGTCCTGATAGCCCGCGATGAGGAACGACCAGTCCATGTCTCCGTCGTCCCCAGACGCGGTGCTTGGCGGCGCCATGGCCGGCTGGGTGGCTCCAAACCCGCCGCTCTGGTCCACCGGTGGAGTCATCATGGCGCCGTGGTCCAGCGGCGACGTCGACGACGGCTCGCGGGAGCGTGCTCGGGGAAAGGCCACCGGCGGCTGATGCTGGCCAACGTCCGAGCCGTTTCCCGAGCGCGCCCTTCGCCTCGCCTCGACGTGCTCCTGGAGGACGGCCATGAAGCGCGGTGTGGCCATGTTCTTCCCTGCCGCTCGCTGGGCGTCGTGGTGCGCCGCCCAGGCTTTAACGAACAGGCCGCTAAAGGCCCCATGCATCGGGCTGTGAAGGTTCGACAGCAAGCCCCTGAGTTCGTAGTTCGCTTCGATGGCCGTCCACGCTCGCTCTACCAGCGGTCCGGCAACGCGCTTGCGCAGCTCCTGGACCAGGAACATGTACGCCGGAAAGGGGAAGTAATGCATTGCGTACCACCTGTACGGCCGAAGGCTCTCCGCCGACATGACTACGTTGTCGTGCTCCACCCAGCTGATGGCTTGTATCGTGAGGGCGTCTCGTTCCACGTCGTCCAGCGGCATCGTCTCGCCGTTGTGCTTGCGCACGAGATAGTTGATGATGCGCATCTTGCAGAGTGCCGCTCGCGTCATCGTCATGGTGAAGAAGTGAAGGGGGATCTTGGCGTCGCACTGGGCCAAGTACGTGCCCTCCATGTGAGCACAGAAACCCTCAAGAGTGTATGGGGGCGTATCTTGGCCAGCAAGCCGAATCGTCACAGGCGGCGATTTTCCAGACTGCGGAGAGGTGCCATTCTTGTCCGGGTGCAGCTTGAAGCTGTCGCGGTTGCTGTTGCTCGCCACCGCCATGGAGAGCTCGACGCGTGTCAGGGCAAACAGCATTTCCGTGGGCCCAGTATGTGGCGTCGGAGGTTCTTTGCCGTCGACGTGGAGGTCAGAATCGTTGACGTTTAATGGCTTCTTGCAGTCACAGCCCGACGTGAGCGCCGTGACCGTCGACCCCGTCATCTCTCCCACGCGTCGGTCATAGGAAACAAGCGTCCACCACAGTCGCCGCCTCTGCTCGACCTCAAATGGAGAGAGACCATATCCGCCTGGGTCTCGATGCAGGCCCATGCGCTGGGCAATGCGGACCGCGATGCCCATCATGCAGAATACCTGCCTCGGGTCTATAAACCACCGAACCGTCATCTGAAGTATGTGTTAACCATATCAACTCAGGTTGACCCTTCAAGACAAACGAGGATTATTTCTTGTGAAGTAAGGGACAGACTTACCAGATATAAAAGATACGCCTGCAGAGTCAAGGGATCGGGAATCCGCATGAAACTAGCATTGACCAAGGCTTGCTGAAGTGCTGGGAAATACCGGCCCAGCAGTTCCTGTTTCGTCTCCCCAAATATCCTCTGAGCTTCAGCATCCTCGATGGAGTGAATGGAGATTACGTATATGCCGAACATGAGGGCTTCGATGTTTTTCGGGGCCGCATGAAGTCGGGATGTCGCTTCGATAATCTTGCTCTGAATGCTGGGTACATGAGTGATTTTCAGTAGAGGATTGATGTTGTCAATGTATATCTGCCACAACTGCAGCACCTGGACGGCAGTAGGGTGGCTGTGCGTGACGGGAGCAAAGGAGCCTCCAATGATGAATGGGAACCCGTCTTGGTTCTCAAACATCTTGTCGAAAGCAGAATGGATAAACGACTTTTTGTTATTAAAGACCTCATCCTCATCTTCGGACGAATCCTTGAGCAGTTGCTCGCTGGCTCTGAACTATCTCTGTAGTTAGAATGAAGGTACAGAAGACGGGGAGATATCTACTAAAGGGGCCCTTACCTCTTTATGAAGAGAAAACCAAGCCCCGGGCTCATGAGATCTAACACGCACGTTGTGTTAGTAGATGGTCACATCTCACTTTCTTCCGTGTAGTTCCTATAGATGACAAACTTACTCGCCCGCAGCATTGGGGGGGCCTGCTTCTGGAGAAGTCTTCAAACCCTCAAAATCGGTCTCTAGCTCGTCAACATCGTCACCGTTGCCGTCGCCCCTGTATTCGGGATCCATGGCATCAAACTTGACGCCATTCTGTGCCAAGAGGCTCTCGTATTTGCGTAGCCGCTCAATCAGATCCTTTTCCTGCAGCTTCTTGCGCCGTCTTCTCGGGGGCTGTGGAGGAATCACTCGGCACTCTGCGCCGGCCTTGACGCAGTTCGCACATGGCTTGTTCCGGTCGCAACGGACCTTGCGCTGTTGACACAGGACGCAGCTAGTGCCTCTGGTCAGTTTGACCGACGACGGATCAATCGCTTGCTGAGGCGACTGGTGCAGAGGCCGGCCTTGAGAGGCGGGTGGCGGCGGCGGGGCTTGGCCGGGGCCTGTAAGGCTGGTAAAGGCTTCAGCAGACATGAGCCAAGGACGAAGGACGACGGCTGCTAAAAAAAATAAATTGTCCGATCTGGAGGTCTCAGGGCCGATCCAGCGGCATTCCAGAGGCCCTTCAGCCAATATTCTGCGGCTAGTCGACGAGAGCTGCAAGTTCCCGCGTGATGCTGGCACGGACTGATTGGCGGATGCTGACAGGCGTCCTCCAACCCTGCATGCAGCTGAGCAGATTGATGGGCTGCTCTGGAGCGCCCTTTTCACCGCGATTGCAGCGCCTGTAGGGCTGAGGCTCGGCGGGCGCCGTCGGCTGCGAAGTCGTCGTTTCGGACCCGGGCCAAGAACCTGAGCTTGTGGTGGAAGCGGTTTGTTCTGCGCCGGTCTGGAAGAGAAAGACGAGGGAGAGAGGAGGAGAGAAAGCGGGGGCTTATGTGCCGTGACAGCGGCCACGCCCAATGGGAGACGCGGTTGGCAAGGCGGTGGAGACCGGGTAGTAGCCGCTTTTTACCTTGTTTGGACGATGATGGACGGAGCATCGCTGGGTTCGGTGCGTTGGGAGAGAAGAAGAAAAGAAGCAGGGCGGGATCGTGATGAGGCATCGCGATTTTTGTCATCGGTCATCTTTGGAGGATTTCGCGATACTACCCAAAGTACGTACCTGAGGCATCGAATCTTGTGGGCTGGATTATCTCATCGGTTCCTATCGATATGTAGAACAGGAAGGAGCAGTGCTGGGCTCTTCTTGAAGGAAGACGAACATCGTGATGCAGCTTCAGCCTTTTCAATCTTTCCCACCTCACACAAACGACCAAGATAATAGAGTCTTTGTATGGCTCCAATCTCCGTCACAATTCCCCTCCCGTCGACGAAATATGGCTGCATAGAAGCGTATCCCTCACAGTACGATGATGCTCACCAGACCGGGTACGTCCACATGCTAACTCCAGTGTTACTGCCTCTTGTCATCCCCAACGCTTCATAGAAGGATCAAATGGCATTTCATAGAGCGAACCTCGATACCTGTATATGCTTGTTACAAACAACTAACCCTCAAGCGCCGCTCAGCATTACGCGTATTCAATATAAATTCTGTTACCGCCAACGCTTTCTCTCCCTCTGTGCAAGACCATCACCGCTTGATTTATACGTGTCCAATGCACGTCTTCCATCCACGAATTGAAGATACCCGAGAACGGTTTCAATGCAAATCGATGCTATTCAGCTCGGGCATCGATTCGGGACCGAGAGCAGACGCCACAGGCCCAACATGTACTAGCGCCCAGTTACGTGCCCGATGTCTCTGGCCGTCGCGTGTAAGTCAGGGAGGCTCTCCGAGTCACGGTCCCGAAGAACAGCCAGGCGGGAGATATGTGAAGTGTGTTACCATTCATTTCGCTGTCTTGTCCGACGATGCCCGATACGATGGCCCTGTTGGACGTGATGCCGGACACGCGTGGCCGAAGTCGTGCAAGAATGCAAACAGCATTCCCCTATAAACTAGCCGTCCAGATGGATCTACCTGGTTAGACAAGCATAAAGGCTCCTCCAACGAGCAACAACTTGTCCTCTTCAACAAAGAACAAAAAATCTTGACTCCCGGAACTCCAACTGCGTCGACTGGTGCACCATCGGAATCCTTCATAATGGCTGTTCCCGAGGAGAAGATGGGGGCGGAAGAGGCAGCGACGCCCATCCAGCTACCGAGAAACTCTGCGTCTTCAAGAGATGACACGAACACACCGACCACCGCTACTCTCAGCGACGAAAAGCCTGGTCCGATACAGCAGCAAACGATTACACAGCCAGTCAACAACGACGATGAGGCAGCCCGACTCCCGGGCCCAGCCCCTGACAGCGCCGAAGACAACTACAACCCCAAGTCTCTCAAGTTCTGGCTCATCATCGTCAGTGCATTTGTGTCCATGTTCCTCGTTGCCTTGGACCGGACCATCATTTCCACTGCCATTCCCACAATCACGGACGACTTCCACTCGCTGTCGGACATTGGCTGGTATGGATCATCATATATGCTTACAACGGCAGCCTTTCAACTGGTTTGGGGGCGTATCTACCGCTTCTACGATCTGCGCTGGACGTTTTTGACGTGTATCGTCATCTTTGAGGTTGGCTCTGCCATCTGTGGTTCCGCACCGAGCTCGAAGGTGTTTATAGTCGGTAGGTTCAGATCACAACGTGCTTACAAGAAACAACATCACAAAGTATAAGTTGTCTAACAGAACACAGGACGGGCAATCGCAGGAGTTGGATCTGCTGGCATCACGACCGGATCTCTACTTACGACCATCGATTTGATCCCGCTGGCGAAGCGTCCCATGTTTCAAGGTACTGCGAGACTCCCAGGGCTTGGATATACGAACATTGCACTAACACCCAATTCCAATTAGCCTCGTTCGGCCTCATATTTGGCGTTGCAAGCATCACCGGCCCTCTCATGGGCGGTGCTTTTACAGAAAACGTCTCATGGAGATGGTGCTTCTATATCAATCTGCCAGTCGGAGCCGTCGCCTTCGCCTTCCTCTTCTTCTTTCTGAGGGTCCCTCCGAAGCCCAAAGCCCCTGCATCCGTCAAGGAACAGATCCTCCGCCTCGACCCTATCGGCACTTTGTTCTTCATCCCCTCCACTGTCTGCCTCTTGCTCGCTCTGCAGTGGGGAGGGTCAGAATACGATTGGAAAAACTGGAGAATCATCCTTCTCTTCATCATGTTCGGAGTGTGTGCCTTGGCATTTGCCTTTGTCCAAGTCAAAATGCCCGAGACCGCGTCTCTGCCTCCTAGAGTGATTGGCCAGAGGACCCTGCTATGTGCGGCGCTTTTCATGCTGTTTGTTGCAGGCGCCATGATGCTCTTGGTTTACTTTATTCCCTTGTGGTGTAAGTGCAACTCCCCTTGTGTCCACGAGCTTTGGTACTGACGCGGCTGCCTAGTTCAAACCACACATGGCATCAGCCCTGTGCGATCCGGCATCTACACACTTCCCTTGGTGTTGAGCCTTGTCATCGCTGTAACCACGTCTGGAATCTTGACTCAGCGTATTGGATACTATAAGCCGGCTCTAGTGTTAGCTCCCTGCATCATGGCGGTGGGCGAGGGCCTCTTATATACCTTTAAGCCAACCACTGGATCCCCTCACTGGATTGGCTACCAATTTCTCGCGGGATTCGGACTGGGCTTTGGATTCCAGACGGCCAATCTTGCTGTTCAAGCCACGCTTCCGAAAAAGGATATACCCACGGGTGTCTCGATTCTGTTCTTTGCTCAGCAGCTGGGAGGTGCCGTCTTCCTGTCCGTCGGCCAGACGGTTTTGAACACTTTGCTCGTGTCCCGTCTGAAAAACGTGCCAGGACTGGATCCCGAGACGATTGTTAAGACCGGTGCGACTGAGCTGAGCAAAATCGTGCTTCCGCAGTATGTTTCTGCTGTGGTTAATGCGTATAACTATGCCTGCACTCACATATTCCTGGCTGCGTTGGCATTGACTTGTGCTCAGCTGGTAGCTGCCCTGGGCATTGAATGGGGAAGCGTCAAGAAACCGAAGAATCAGCAAGTAAAGGCATAAGAAGCAAACGCGCTCAGCATTAACTTGAACATTGGCGTTACGGCGATATAGAACGTGGATTAGAGTATACTAAACTAGCCACTTATAATCTAGATACCTAGCTCTCTTTTCTTTTAATACACATTCCCTCGAAACGATTACCTTTCTAAACATTAAGTCGAAGAGATTGGCTGCGTTGCTGTGAGAATGCTTTTTGCTGAATGAGTGTCGTTTGCGGCACTGTTCAAGCTCACGGGAGTTGACTGATATCGCGTTCGGATTCACCATGTTGACCTCTGTTTGCCCTTGTTCACATGCCGTCCGTGGGCTCGTTCACAAGATGCTGTCCAGGACATTCTCGTCCCCTTATACTACCTATAACAGCTCTCGCTCACGACGTCCCATATCCTATTCCCCATTCTTCTCACATCATATCAAACCAACCTCCTCCACTCCACATCAATCACATCACCAAAACAACCCAAACCTCACCATACTCTCCAAGCTCTCATCACGACAAAAGAAAAACATGTGCGAAGTCACCAGAACAAAGTACGCCTGCCGCCACAACATCATCGAATACAAAACCCGCTGCGCAAACCAAGGCAACAGATGCGAAAAGAAGATTGAGAACCGCACCTCCGAAGACAGCTGCCCCAAGTGCAACCCCGACTCTCGCCACAAGAAGATTGCCGACTTGTATGCCACGTATGGCAATGAATTGGCGAGGCTGGCGGAGCTTGCCAGGGTGGAGGACTGCCAGACGATGGTGATGCAGCTGGAGCGGATGCAAAGGGGGCTTGCGGAGGAGAGGATTAGGGCGCTGGTGGAGTTGCAGGAGAAGATTGAGGGGGAGGCGGCGGTGAGGAGGAGGGCTGAGGAGGAGGAGGCGGCTAAGGGGTCTGGTTGGTAAGATATATGTGAGGGTGTTTCGGTGAGTGTCTTGGAGAGCATGTGATGGCTAGGACTCACCTTGTACAGCACACATGTCATGCCTGCATATTACTTCCAGGAAACAGTCAAGAAAGATAAGCCGAGTGATATTCGCTTGATTACAGTCATCCATACAACCCCCGTATTCCGTATAAGAGAAGGTTTGGAGTACTGGACAAGGTATCAGACTTCGTGTAAGTCAGGATGGCTGCAAGACAAGCCAGGCTTTGCGGTTAATCTTTCGTAAACTCCACAATGGAAATAAAAATACTTGAATGACAGTAGCACGAAAAAAGGTGACACTCATTCAATATTCAGATATCCATCAATAAATCCACCCTTGATCAATCCCTGCTCTTGATCCTCAGCTTGTAAAGGGTCGAGGAGCAGAAGACGGCTTAGTCAGCACGGCAGCCGGATCTCAACCCCACACGCGGGGCAGCTGCTCGACCTGCAACCTCCGCCATCGTCAACTGTTTACTTGACCACCTCCAACTCCAAACGTCAACGCATCTCTGCTCAGCTTTAGCCTCACCAAACTCCGATTGTCATCAACTAAAAACACGATTCAAGCATCGAAGAGCACCGCGCCAGCTAAACACCTCCCCCGCCATGGACGCTCCCAGCGCCAACCCTCTTCTGTCCACCCAGAAGAGCTCCCAGCTCCAGGCCGTCCTGCACCCGCTGGTGCTCCTCACAATCTCCGACTACATCACACGCCACACCCTGCGCGAGCAAAAGGGCCCCATAATCGGCGCTCTCCTGGGCCAGCAGAATGGCCGCGAAATCACCATTGAGCACGCCTTTGAGTGCCACGTCCAGGAAGCGCCCCACGTAGAGGGAGGCTACCTGATCAACGCAGCCAAGTTCAGCGCAAGGCTCGAGCAGAGTACGGCGAGAGATAACCCCCCGGCCACGTAAACCACAGGGTTTTTTGCTAACTCGTCGCTCTTCTTCTTCACTAGTGTGCCTTGTGCATAAGGACCGAAAACTGGACTTTGTCGGCTGGTACACCCTGCTGTCGACGTCAGGCCCTTCGCCCACCATCCTGCCGATCCACAACCAGATCCTCGAGAACTGGAACGAGTCGGCCGTCTTGCTTGGCTTCCACCCCCAGGAGGTCCTGCAGCACTCGGTAGGCGGCAAGCTGCCGCTGACGATATACGAGAGCAACTACGAGGTCGACGACACCCGGGGTGAAAACGACGGGGAGGACAAGAAGATGGACGACGGCGAGTCCACGCTCAAGCTCAAGTTCCGCGAGGTGCCGTACTCTGTCGAGACGGACGAGACCGAGATGATCAGCATGAACTACGTGGCCAGCGGCGGAGGAAACGCGACTGCCAGCGCTCCCGCTCAGACGGCCAAGGAGGAACGAACGGCTCGTTCCATAGAATCGAACGGAAAGGGAAAGCGGAGGCTGGTGGAGAGCGAGATTGAGGACAAGAAGGACGCGGCGGCGGTGGATGAGGCCTCTGCTCTTACGCGGGAGGAGGAGGAGATGCTGGCGTCGCTGACGGCCAAGGCAAACGCCATTAAGATGCTTCACTCGCGGATCCAGCTCATCACCACCTACCTGCAGCGTTTGCCGCCCTCGTTCATCAATGGAGATGCTCAGGACGGAGATGCTCCCCAGGATGAAGAGAGCATGGACACGGATACCAACAATACCACCCCATCGCTGAATATCCTCCGACAGATCCAGGCCCTGGTCAGCCGCCTCGACCTCGTCATCCCTTCAGACAGGGAGGCCTTTGAGAAGGAAGTCCAGAGCGAGACCAACAACGTCCATCTCCTGGGTCTCTTGAACTCCATCATGCAAGGCATCGTCCAGGCGAAGGACGTCGGCAGGAAGTTTCACGCGATTGAAGCGAGCAAGATTGCGGCCAGGCGCGGGACGATGGATTATTCTACTGGATCGTCGTCTTTTAATATTCCTGGTACCGGGGATTTACACGTTTGATGCAGGGGCTTTGAAAGTGGTTTTGTGAGGGCTTTCCGGGGTTCCCTATTTTTCCTTTTTCCTTTGGCTTTGCAAGAGGCATGTTTAGGCGTTTTCGGTTCATGTGCTTTCTCACTGTGTTTTGTCCTTCTACGGAAGGCATAGGTTCATAGAATGGGTAACGAATTTAACGAGGGCTGGTCTTGACCCTGAGTTCATGACGGAATGAACGGAAACATGCAGTATCACGACCCAGATATCATTAGAATTGTATTGTCACATGTTGTATGTCTCTAAAAGTCGAATCCGGTTCTTGTATTGACATGAACATATATCTTGTGACGGCAAACTACCGTATTTTCACAACAAAAAGCCGCACTCACCAGGCACGATTGTAGAATAGGTAGTAAAAAAAAAGGAAGAAGGGACACACTCTTGTTACATCAACGAATTAATCATGCCCGCTCAAAAAGTGCTCGTGGCCAACCGACTCGCCGCATTCCTAGCATCGATCCTATCCTCGTCATCCTCCTCCAGGCCAACCAAGTTGCCCAGTCCGCCACCGAGCTTGCCCGCACCGGGCTCCTTGCTGTTCTCGCCTTCGCCTTCCTCGGGCAGCTTGCCCACGACGGAGGTGGTGCGGCTGGTGGCGTCCGAGCGACGGGGGACGCCGCTCCAGGCATCCCCCTTAGGGCCCTGGCTGGCGGCGAGGCTCGTCCGGCGGATGGTGGGGTGGGCTTCGCGGCCCAGGCGGCTGAGACCGCCGGAGGCGTCGATGGAGCGGATGTCCGCCCGGACGCTCTCGAGGAGGGCGAGCGAGCGGCGCTCGGCTTCGATCTCGCGGAGGACGAGTTCCCTGATTTCGAGGCGCAGGTCGTTGGCCGTCCGCTCAAACCACCTGCGGCGCTCCTGGACGAGGTTCTGCGTCACCCTGCTCGTCTTGTGGAACAGCTGGGTCTCGTTCGTGCGCGCCTCGTCCAGGGCGGCAATAGCCTCATCGACCTTTTCCCGTCTCACGCTGGAACTGGCCTTGAGGCGGTCGGCGGCGTTGAGCTTGCTCCGCGTGACCTCCTGGGCCTGCAAGTACTCGCGGATGAGGATCTGGCGGTTGGTAAGGGTCTCCTTGACGATGAAGGCGTCCTGCGAGTGGTATTGGAACGGGTCCCCGATGGTGGTCGCCTCGGCCGTGGCCTGGGCGGCGTGGTAATCGCCGACGGTCTGGATGACTCTGCCGAGCTTTTTGTAGGCGTTTGCCAGGCCTGGGTGCGGCTCCTGGACGTGCATGGCACCGAGCTTGACACCGTAATCAGACTCGGCGAGACCAAGACCTGCAGTTTCATTCCTTAGTAAAGTATCTCAAGAAGCCATTTGTAAGCATGAGTCTTACCTCTTCGAGCCTTGACGAGCTTGTCAACCTTGTGGCCAGCATCCATCGTACCCAGGTAGAACAGCTTAACGATGGGACGAGCCTCTGCAAGCTCAGGGGTATCATCAGGAGGCGGGGCAAACTGCTTCAGAATCTTCCTGCGGACGCCGGTTGCGGGCTGCTTCCTCTTCACCAGCGGGCTGTAGCCGAAGTCGCTTTCCACAAACAGCACCATCTCGTCGTCTCTCATCAAGACCTCGTTCCCGCACACGTAGTTGAACCATCGCTGCATTAGAGCCTTGACTCGGTTCTCGTCCTCCTCGGTACCGGCGCCAGCAGACGTGATCGGAGGCGGAACGGCAGGTACTAGCGCTTCGGGGTTTGCCGATATCAAGTGCTCTCCCAGCTTGACAAACTCGGAATGCAGACGTCGGACATCTCGATACTGGGTGGTGCGGAAACGGGGCAGGTTCGTCTATGAGGGGCTGGTTAGCCTCCAGCTCCAACCTAGTTCTCCAGCGAGACAGAAACGCCATAGAACAAACTTACGTGGACATCAAACCGCAGGATGGGATCCTTCTTCCCCGTCCGCTCCAGCCCTGTAATCTTGGCCTGCAGCCTGAATTGGGGCTGCGGCGGCTTCCGAGGCTGCTGTTGCGGCTCTTCTGACGGGGCTTGCGTCGAAGCCGTCGACTGAGGGGCCTCGGATTCGGCAGACTGAGACACGGTCCCAGCCTCTGAAGATGCCGTCACGCTCGCATCTCCGAAATCGCCCTCTGCTCCGGCTGTGGGAGTTATTGAGCCCGACTGCGGAAAGACATCGTCGCCGTTGGACGGCTGCGGGGTGTACGGGAAGGCGGGAACAGGGGCATCGCCCGTGAGGCTCGCAAAGCTGGTGCGGTCGTGCTGCGGCGACGAGCCGGGCGTATTGCCCCAGGGAGACGCCGCAGGGTCCTCGGTCTCGTGTATGGAGGCGCTGTAGTCCATGGCGGTGGTGGTTCTGTAGAAGCCACGCCTCGATGTAGCGGCAATATGCGGGTTGTGGCACTCGCGATGTCCGAGTGACAGCGGGGCTGGTGTTGTTTCTGCGAGAAGGAAGTTGGTTGAAGTGCGGCGAATCGATCTGGAGCAGCTTTTCTCTACAATCGAGCGTTTGTCATGCCGCAGGAGGCGCAGGTTGGGATCACGGCGATTGGCTGGTTGCGCGAGGCTCTGGTTCCGCCTTGGTGAAGCTGCGGATTCAGTTCGGCTACGTAAGTTGATGCTGCGACGACATTCAAAGTGGGTTGAGAGTGAAGGCAGCGAGTCCGGGGAGAGGGCGCTGATTGGCCGGATAGACGCGGGCTATCGCGCTTCGCCAGACGCCGCGAAGCTCTTATCGGGTGGCTGGAAGAGGCTTAGCGCGGGCCTGTGGGGAACGAAAATTCGTTATCGAAGCTCAGCAGTGATGCATCTTAAAAGAAAGTATTCGCACGGGAATCGTCATTGCGGAGCGCATACAAGTTGCATCAGTCGCAAAAGGGGTTTTTTTGTAGAAAATTAACAGAGATTCACAATGGGCAAGAAGAGGTCACGAGAGGAGGCAAAGGATGCGCCGCCGGCCGATGCTGGTGCCGATCGCATGGACGAGGACAGCAGCGACGACGAGGTGAGTTGACAGAGATGGTGCCCTTCCAATTGCTGCTTCAGAGGGACAAAATGCGCTGACGAAACAGGACTTTGACATGGTCAATGTGGAATTCGAATGGTTCAACTTCGACCCCGAGATCGACTTCCACGGCACGAAATCGCTGCTGCGGCAACTCTTCGACGTCGACGCCAACCTCTTCAACATGTCTGCGCTGTCGGACCTCGTCCTGTCGCAACCGACGATTGGCTCGACGGTCAAGGTCGACGGCAAGGCCAACGACGCCTACGCCATGCTGACGGTCCTCAACACATACGAGCACCGCGAGAAAGAGCCGATGAAGGACATTCTCAAGTACCTCGTCGAAAAGGCGCAGACCAACCCGTCAATAGCGGCCGTCGCCGAGCTCATCGGCGCGCAAAAGCCCGTCGGACTTGTCCTTTCCGAGCGCCTCATCAACATGCCGTCGGAGATTGCGCCGCCGCTGTATACGATGCTCGTCGAAGAGGTGGAGGATGCGCTCGAGGACAAGGAGCCGTACGACTTCTCATATTATCTCATCCTCTCCAGGACATATCAGGAGGTCGAGTCGACGTTGGATGTGGAGGACCGGAAACGGAAAAAGGCCAAGGAAGAGGCTTCTACGTATCACTTCCATCCCGAGGATGAGGTTCTGGAAAAATATGCCGTGGCGCACGGCAGCTTCCGATACACGAAAGAGGACGATGCGGTGGCAGACAGCAAGCGGGCGTTCCAGGAGATGGGCATCAAGACGTTTGGGCACATGATACTCATTGAGGCGAGTAAATTCAAAGACGCCGTCAAGGCCGTGGGTGATTATATAGCGGCGCCGCAGCAATAAAAAAAATGGTATAAACTGCTCTACCCCTACTCTTCGGGTATGAGCCTCTGCATCAGGTACTCCACCTCCACCTCCTTGGTCAATGGGATGACAAAGTCCTTGTACATGGACACGACCGCGTCCACGTTGATCTTGACGGGCTGCTCCACGCCTTCCAGCAACGACGGGTCCTTGCCGTACGTCTCGACCTTGAGACGCAGGCGGTCGAGGACCTGCTTCTCCACGGCCGCGTTGGTGATGGACTCGCCAATGGCCTCGCGGTCCTCGGCCTTGATAAGCTTTGTGTAATACTCCGGGTCCGACTGGAACTTTGACTCGGCAACGAACTTCCCAAAGTGGATTCTCCGCGACAGGGCCTGCAGGCACGCAATGTCGCAAGTGGACGTCGAGCCGTAGTTCTCCTGCGACTCGCCCCTGTCCTCGCGGCCAAAGTCGGGGCACACCTTGGGCAGGAACTTTTCAATGTAGAACTTCTTGATCTTGTCGTTGACGCAGACGGTGTTGTTGTGCAGGATCTTGGGGTAGTTGAGAGGCTTGAGCATGGGCTTCTGGACGGCCTCGGGGAAGAAGGGGTATTCGTCGGGCGACTCGAAGCGGCGGATGAGGGACTGGAGCTTTTCCTGCTGGAAGAAGTACCAGTCGAAGAAGCTGAGCTTGCTGTCGGGGATGGAGATTGCGCCGGGCGTGTAGATTGTCTGGATGAAATCAAGTCAGTAACGCCAGACGGTCGTTGTAGAAGCTGGTCTCTGAAGATGTGCGTGCCCTACCTTGTTGTAGGGGAATTGAACTCTCTCAATGAGATGGAAAGTAATTGTGTCTTCGAGTCGACTGTATCATCGCGTCAGCTGGCTTGCAAAGAGTGCGAATTGGGTCGTGGGAGAGCTCTGGGGAGCTTGAGATGGACTCACATGAGCTGGAAGCGGATGCGCGCGAGGTCCAGCGCGTGCTCGCTGTCGGCCATGTCGACGGCTGAATCCATTGTGAGCAGATCTGGAGAAAGAGAAGGATCTCAGAAGGATATTAGACGGCCTTTGTAAGAAAACGACCAAAAGTCTATCCAAATAAGCTGACGCCTTGGTATGGAGAGAAGGTTTGGTCCTTGTATTAGTAGAAGTCTCAATGGCTTGGAACGAATTTGGGTCCCGAGACCGGCGGGTGACTTGGAGAAAGACTCAGCCAAGCCCCATCTTTTAGTGCAGCTCAGCTTAGTCGTGTCTCGTGCGTGACACATGCCAGCGGGCGGCAGAAGGGCAGAGCTGGGCTCTGGCATAATAAACGAGGGATGCAGTGAACGGGTTTGGCAGCAAGATGCAGGTTGGAGAGCTGTTGTAAGCTCTTCTAATTTTACGCGTAAGACGTGAAGCAGCGCTGCAGGACGGCACAGCGTTGATTTTAAGGCATGTAGGTAGGTAGGTAGGCATGGCTGGTGGTCTGTATCTGATATCGTTGGATCTTTATCGGGCGACCTATAAACTAGGTAGTTGTATGAGATGCCTGCGACCTGCTCTCTCCTCTGCATTCACACAGATGCTTCAGCCCTGGTGTAAAGAGTCGTCGTCGATACAGATCCTGACCAAGGGTCCCCTGGATATCGATATCCATCAGTCCATCAATGTCATCATCAGAATCCTTCAGCGGCAGCCGGGTCCCGTCCTTTGCCCTGGAACCCCGGACAAGCCCCCAGTGGGGCATGGAGCAAGCCGCACAGGCAGAGATTGAAGATGTATTTCCGCGAGCTAGCAGGAATGCAATACGACGGCAGTTTCTGCTGGCCGGTGTTTTCAATTCTTACAGAAGTGGTCAATGGATTGGTAGTACATGTAGCTGGGTGCGACGAAGAATGGAAGCTAATGCAGTTTGGTGTGATGGAGGTGTTTCTGCAGGCATGACAGCTTGAAGGCACACACCTACAGGTAAGGTAGCCCGAGGATCTCGAGTATCTGGGAACAGGTGCTAAAGGTAGCGATACTTGATCCCGACGGTGCCAATTCGGGACAAGAGGGCAGCTGCAAACGCCAACAGCTAGAGGGGTGGTGGTACAAACCCGCTAAAACCCGCCGGTTCGCGGCAGCAGCTCAGCAGTCTCGCCCCTCGGAGGCCCTCGTACCGGTACACGCTGCTGGCCCCCGGGCTCTCCCCCACTGCAGTTCATGTCCTCGGTGCTTGCATTTTCTGCGCGTCATCCCAAATTTCACACCCGCAAGCCAATGCCGGGATTTTGCGATGCAAAGCCTCCGACCTCGTTTCCTCTCTTTTTCCCTGCCGTGACCACGAAAATCCCGCCCTTGCCTTGCGCTGCCTCGAGCCCGATCTTGAGCCCCTTCCAGCGCCGGGCCAGCCGTTGAGTAATGGCCGACTCGGAGAGCCATTATGCCTTCGACGATGGTCCCGATGACGAGCAGTCCATCATCTCGGTATGTCGCAAGAAAAAGAAGAGCATTGCGGTGCCGTCGACGACAGAGCGCAACCGTCCAGCTGACCAAAGACGACCTCCTCTCCGCAGACTCGAGGACTCGAGGCCTTTAGCCGAAAGGTCACTGTAACGGCCAGCCAGCTCATGGGCCCGGCCGCAGAGGCATCCGGAGCCCACTACCGCGCCGCCATGGCCGAGGTTCACAAGCAGATGAAGCGCCCCAGCGTCCAGCGCGGCATGTTCTCCATGGCCCGGTCCAGCCCGACCGAGATTGTGCGGTCCAAGCTGTCCACGGCCGAGATCCAGCACCGCGCCCTCACCCACCTGCCCGACGAGCTGCTGTCCAACATCCCCGACCACCAGAACGCCTACTCGCTCTTCCAGGGCTTCCAGGCCAGCTTCCCCGAGCTGGCCCAGGACGGCAAGAAGCACCGCCGCCGCCCGTCGAGGGGCCGCAAGCTACTGGAGGAGGGCGAGGGCACGCCCGCGACGCCGACCAAGCTGGCACAGCTCAAGAAGGAGAAGACGGCCATGGTGCACGAGCTGGAGCTTCTGGGCGTTCGCAAGAGCATGGTCAGTTGCGAGATCCGCGAGATTGACAACAAGATTGCCAACCTGTACGGCATGCGCCGCATTGTGCTGGAGCGGTTGGCGGGCTTTGAGCAGGACGAGGCGTCGCTTGAGCATGATGGTAGGTTCAATTTTGCCCAACATTTTTTTTTCTTCCTCATCTCTCGTCATTTACAGTTAGGTGCTGACAGTGATCAGTCATGGATCTCGAATTGAAAATCGACGAAGTCCAAGCCATTGTCGACGAGGCCGAGGATTTTGCTCGCAACACCGCCACCAAGGACGAGCGAGATCTAGTAGGAGATGCCGACGACCACGACCCCGAATTCATGTCCAAATCCGTCTATGAGAAGCTGCCCGCCACCGAAGGCAAGCAGCGCAAGACGAAAAAGGTTCATCGCCGGAAATCCATGGCCATCCTGCACGAGCACTTTGCCCCGGGATCCAACATTCGAGAAATCCGAGCCCACCGAGATACCATTACCGCCATGGATTTTGATGCGCCTTTTGGGACTTTGGTTACTGCTGCGCTGGACGACACCGTCCGAGTCTGGGATTTGAACGCTGGCCGATGCATGGGCTATCTAGAGGGCCACACGGCTTCGGTGCGTGCTCTGCAGGTCGAGGATAACATTTTGGCTACTGGTTCCATGGACGCCACCATCAGGTTATGGGATCTGAGCAAAACACATTACAACCCTCAGGGCGGAAAGGAGGTTGGCGATGACGACGAGGACGCCATTGCCTTTGAGCACCCCGATGCCCAGCCGATCGAGCCGCCAGAGGGCAGCATGGACGACTGCGCGCTCTTTACCCTGTCATCTCACGTCGACGAAATCACCGCGCTTCACTTCAGGGGAGATGTCTTGGTGTCCGGCTCGGCAGACAAGACGATCCGGCACTGGGACCTGGAAAAGGGCCGCTGCGTGCAGACGCTCGACGTCATGTGGGCTGCTGCTCAGGCGTCAGCCATTGCGACGACTGACGATACGTGGAGGCCGACTGGCCGAGCTCAGGGAACCAGCGCCGACTTCGTCGGTGCCTTGCAGGTATTCGAGTCGGCGCTGGCGTGCGGTACGGCCGACGGCATGGTGCGCCTGTGGGACCTCCGAAGCGGCCAGGTTCACCGGAGCTTGGTGGGCCACACGGGGGCCGTGACATGTCTGCAGTTTGACGATGTGCATCTGGTGACTGGCAGCTTGGACCGAAGCATCAGGGTGAGTCTCTTCACTATTCTTCACAAATCTTCCTACAGCATCCACTAACACAATGCCGCAGATATGGGATCTTCGAACGGGGTCCATCTACGACGCCTACGCCTACGACAATCCCGTCACCAGCATGATGTTTGATGCGCGACGGATCGTCAGCGCGGCCAGCGAGGACGTGGTCAAGGTGTACGACAAGGTCGAGGGCCGGCAGTGGGACTGCGGCGCGGGCATTGCCGGGGCCGAGGGCTCCAAGAACGCCGCCATCGTCGAGCGTGTGCGTCTCAGAGACGGCTACCTGGTGGAGGGTAGGCGGAACGGCATTGTGGGTGTATGGACGTGTTAAGAATATGATAAAGGCGGCGCAGCTCAAGCGATGTAACGAAAAAAATCTATATGTCTTGTATGTACGTTATGATGGGTATGGGTTGAGGGGGGTTTTGTGTGGGAAAACTTGATGAATATGATTTTACTTGGACTTGTGTGATGAATGCGTGAGTGAAGCAACGACTAAAAGGCTGAAGAGGAGACTTGTGAAAAGAAATCTCATATGATCATATAAATGCATTACGTATAGACTGGTTTGAAATATCATTTGTTCATTTCAATTGTGGTCGAGCGTTGATTGTGATTTTGCAGCTGATGTTCTCATTTACCCTACAAAGCTGGAAGTAAAAAATGGCTTGAAGACATTGTCCGACTTCTTTCAACTGCACATTCCCCCCCCCAATCAACACCACCGACAGTCCTCATACTACTCGCCTTGTCCAGTCTCTACGAGTGAAACCCGATCTCGCTCATCTCTCTTTCAATCCAAGGATAAGCATCACATCATGTCGTCCCTCCGCGACCAAGTCCTCTCGCAATACCGCCACGCAGCAACAACCATTGCCTCATCCTCGCATACAATTCCTCCCCAGTCGCCATCATCAAACCCTCCCTCGCCAGACCCCAAAGCAGAAGCGCTCCAACTCCTCCTCCACCGTCAAGCCCATCTCCTCCTCAAACTAGACTCAGCCGCCAGCCAAAGCCAAAATGACACCAAATATCATCCCGACAACATCGACCTACGCCTCCTCCAGCTGCGCCTCTCTGACCTCGCGTCCACCTGCATGACGGCATTCTACGCATACCGATTCGATCTGCTGCCGTATCACTGGCGATGGATGTACACGGACACGCTGATCCTCATGTCTCACTACAAAGTCGTGCGGAATATCCGACGAGCTTCTTTTTGCGAAAATGTGCTGGATGAGGTTGTGGAGGATCTGGACAGGGCGCTGATTGTGGCGGGGGGCGCGGGTGGTCTGGGGGCGGAGTGGATCGAGAAGATGCTGGATTTGCTGCAGCGTTTTTCCTGTGAAGAAGAGGCTGATGAGAGAATGGAGTCTTCTTCTCCTCCTCGGAAGAAACGCAAACAAGGGCTTGTCATCAATACGGGCGACGTGGTAACCTTTTCTACTGCCGAGCCGTATGGTCGACCGACTCTTTCACCAGAGAGGACATGTCCCCGGTACGACAACTGGACGCTGGAGCGATTCGAGCGGTACATGAACGAGGACAGCAAAGGAAAGCCCAAACCCGTCGTCTTTACGGATTTGATAGGGGAGTGGCCTGCGTTTAGGGACAGGCCGTGGAACAGCGCGGAGTATCTCCTCGAGAGGACGTTTGGGGGCCGGAGGCTGGTGCCTGTGGAGGTGGGGAGGAGTTATGTCGATGAGGGGTGGAGGCAGGAGTTGGTTCCCTTTAAAGACTTTTTGAAGAAGTATATTGATCCTACCATCTTGACCCCTGGGAATGAGGAGGACGGGGTGTATGGGGCATTTGATGATGAGGCTGAGGAGGAGAGCAGTAGCAGCACGTATAAGAAGGCATCGAAAAAGGTCGGCTACCTCGCCCAGCACAACTTGTTTCAGCAAATCCCCGCGCTGAGAAAGGACATCCAAGTCCCCGACTTCTGCTGGGCCGACGTGCCCCCCCATCCAACAGAACCCTCCAAGAACCAGCCTCGTCTGCAGGTCCCCCAGCTCAACGCCTGGTTCGGCCCAGCAAAGACAATCACGCCGCTTCATACAGACGGATACCACAATCTACTGTGCCAGGTCGTGGGGACGAAATACGTCAGGCTGTATGCCCCTGAGGAAACGAGGTGGTTAAGGCCGAGGGGGACGGAACATGGCGTTGATATGAGCAATACGAGCGAGTTGGATGTCGGTGTGCTGGAGGGCTGGGATGAGGAGGAGGAAGAGGAGGGTGGTGTTGTTGATTGGGAGAGTGTGAGGGAGGAGTTGAAGGGTGTGCCGTATTGGGAGACGGTGCTGGGGCCAGGCGATACGTTGGTGATTCCTATCGGGTGGTGGCATTATGTGCGGAGCTTGAGTATCAGCTTCAGCGTCAGTTTCTGGTGGAACTAGATTCTACTCTTACGGAGGATCACGCATTCATGAGTTGATTCAGGAATGACAACTTCGTATACTCATAGAGGAGAAATGCTACGCTGGCAACGCTGCTTTGCTCTTCCCGCAAACCTCATCAATACTCGTCAGAATCATTCGCACCGCCATCACCACCAGGGGAAAACCTCAAGACACAAATTCAAGAGAGAGAGAGAGAGAGAGGCAACTATCATCATGCATCACTCAACAGGATCAAAAAGAATTCACACCTGAGACCGCGCATCCTCCACGCTCTCCCCCGTCGTCGACTGCGCCCCCCGCCTCGCCTTGGCGCCCGCCTTGAGCGTCTCCCACTTCTCGCGGTACTTCTCCAGCGTCTTCTGCATCTTGCGGTTGTCCTTTTCCAGGCGCTCCATATGCTTTGTCATTTCCGACAGCTGTTCCTCCAACTCGTGGTTCTTGCGCACCAGCTCCTCGTCGGTTGCCTTGCCGCTTCCGCTTCCCCCGGGGAGGGGCGAGCCGCCGGGCATGATGCGGTAGCTTTCGGCGAGGGCGAGGGCGGAGCTCTGGGCGCTGGCTTCGAACGTGTGGAGGCGCTTGGAGAGCTTGTCCAGCATATCCTTGAGAGACTTGTTTTCCAGACTGAGCTCCTCGATGGTGTTGTACAGTTCCTTTTCCGAGTGGGTGCGCGTAATCCGGCGGCGGGCATGTACAGAGCCAGGGGCTTCACGGGCGTCAACAAAGTCATCGTCGTCTTCGTCCTGTGGCAGCATATCACCATGGGTCGAGGCTTCCAGGCGGCGTTTCTCTTTCTCGGCATAACTGAGAATATTGGCATAGGACATGGTGTGACCGGTAGAGGGAACAACGTAGAACGAATCGGCAGCAGTGTGGCCATCGCGGACGAGGGCTCGCATGGTGGCCTTTGAGTAAATCTTGGAGAGATCCGGATCGGCGGTGGCAGAAGGGGAGGCGCGGGCGCGAGACTGCTTCGTGGGAGACAGGTTGACGCTGGGAGAAGACGGCGTGGCGGCCTCCGCAGGCGTGGCGGGCTCTTCCTGGATGAGCGGCAGACCGGCAAAGGCAAGGGGCGCAGAGATCTTGTGGATGAGGCTACCAAAGGTGTTGTAGAAGCGGGTATAGCCGCCGTCGTCCCTCGCCGCAGAGCCCTGGTCGACCTTTGGCGACGCGCCGCCGGCTGCTGCCGCTCCCTGAAGATGCTGCTGTTGCTGGTGTTGCTGCTTGTTCGGCGCGGCAGCCATGGGCGGGACCCAGGTCGGGCGGCCGGACTGGCGGTCCATGATAGTCTGCATCTTGGCCTTGGAGGCATCGCGCTTGGCCTGGGGATCGAGGTTTCCGGGAGCCTGGTCGTTGGACACGCTGGGGCTGAGCGGCTGGCCGCGGTCCTTGGAGCGGATGCCCCTCGCCGAGGCCAGGTTGCTGGCGATGGACGACGACATCTCGCGGGGCACGTAGCGGCGCTGCGAGGCCAGCCCGGGCGGCTGCTGGGTCTTTGCGGCCGCGGCCTGCAGAGCGTCGCCCGCGTCGCCCGCCGCGTCGCCGCCGTCGGGAGCCTTCTCGGAGGCCGCCTTCTCGCCGTGGCCATCGTCGCGCGCGTGCGGCACCTGCTCCGGCGGCAGCTTGAGGATCTCGGCCAGCTTGCGGTGGTGCTCCTCCAGCAGCTTGAGCGTACGCAGGGCCTCGACGCTCGACGTCAGGCTGGCGGCGTTGGCGAACTCGCCGGCGGCCAGCGTGTGCTCGCTGATGGCAACGGTGGTGTCGGCGGACTGGCGAGTGGCCACGGCGGCGGCTCGCGCGTGGTCGTGCGCCTTTGTGAGCGGTGAGGCTTCCATGATGGTGGTGGTTCGACGGGCACAGCAGCGATCAAGGCTGCTGATGCGGTAATGTTTCGGTTACGGGCTGTTCAAGGTTGTCGTTGCGGGGGGTTTGGTTCCCCTGTGGGCGAGGCGGCGTCGTCTAGCTGAGCGAGCCCGTGAGGTGGTGGTTGAGGGTATTAAAGCTGGAGATGCGTGTGGTTGCATCACTTGGCTGGGGAGAGCTGCATGTGGTGCGCGTGAGTGTGCATATTTGTCCCGCTTCGGTATGACGGCATGCGTGCGGTGCGGACGGGAGGTACGTGGGAAGAACGGCGCGTGGCTGCAGGATGGCGGCGGGAGAAGAGGTAGTGGGAGGTACTGTGCGTCATGACGGCTTCAGCTAGAACTGAAGCGTCTGTTCGAAGTGACACAAAGGAGCTGAGCCCGTGATGGCACCAGAGTTGTGTGGCTGCTGCTGGAGTTTTGCTGAGATTCTGCGTCTCTTTGCATACTCGTACGTCCTATGACACTCCAGACATTACCGGGGTCAGTACCTAGGTAGAGGCAAGTTGTCTTTTAGACAGGGGTAATGTGTGTGAATGAGCACAGCAAGGGCAAGTTAGTTGATGTCGGCAGCAGTTGTGAATGAAACTCCGATACTATCGAGATCTGAATAGGAAGCTTCAAGCAAGCGACAAGGCCCAGCCAACGGGCTTCGGGCCTCTCCATCTCCCGGCCTGGCTCAGGGCAATACGTGTAATACGTGTACTCGCACAAACAGACAGCTCTAGACTCTTCTTTCTAGTGAGGCTTCTCAACCAACTCCGTCATGTTCGCACTAGTATCATAGAACTAGTAATAAACAAGACCGCCTCCAAACCCCACCTCGACTATTCTCCTCCTCTCCAGGGGCCTCGTCATATAATCTCGACAAAGCTGCCCTGCCGCGTTTCGTCATTTGGCCCAAAGGGGAGCATTTCTTGCATCCGTCCCCGTCCCAATCCGGCCCCGATCAGACAGAAACGCCGTCCGTCTCTACCTATATTCTTCTAGCTGCTAAATTGCGCAGCCTCGCTTTGCCGAGTTGCAAAACGGGGCCCCGGTATAAGTTTGAGGACCCTTGATTTCAGGAGGGCGATGCTGCTATTTATATGGCAATCTCTACCTAGTACCAATGCTGGAAACGGTCGCGCGACAGACAGAGACGACGGTTCAGGACAGCCTTCTTCGCCCCCCAATTCACTGCTCCCCGTGATAGAGCCTCATTAAACAGAGTCAAGGCCCAACTGCAAGAGAAGCGTCGTTCTGGGTTGAAGGAAGCGGGGATTCTGCCCACCGCTTATCAGAGGCATTGACACTACTCCGTATCATCATATTCACACTTCATCTTACCTTTCTTTGCCTTTCCTTCTCTTCATCCCCTCCTCTCCTCTCCTCTGCTTCTCCTCTTTTCTCTATATCAGCGACTTTCTGTCGTCATCTTCCGAATCAGCAAAATCGACCAATCGTCTCACTCAATTGCTGAGACAACACAATGGACAACGCCCCCAACAGCAACGGCAACAGCGCAGGCGGCGGAGGTGGCCTGGGCAAGCTTCTGGCCAAGCGCCGGCGAAGAGCCAGGACGGGAGGCCCAGAGTCGGATGCTTCAGGCCGCGACGACGATGCCGTGTCGCTTCACGTTGGCGACGACGACGATATCAACGACGACCGCAGCTTTGGCTCGTACGAGTCGGGCGGTGCAGACGCTGATGGCGAATCTGAGCGGTAAGCGTGAATTTCCCTTCTCTCTCTCTGTTGGACGAATTGCTACGGGGTTACTACCCATGGCATACGTTGTTGCATCTGCATCGTCATCATCACCCTCAGCATCACCGCCATCCTCTCTTCTTCTCTTCTCCAGCCTCTTCCTCACTTCCCCAGTCTCTCCAGCTTCTTCATTTCCTGCCCCTCGGCAAAATGACAGGTAGCGCCAGGTACAGGCTGTACAGCCTTGCATGAGATGCTCCACGGCCAATCTGCAGTTAATTTCATTTCACCCATCCAGTACCTGCACCTACCAGCAAAGTACAAGTATTCATTCTCCTCTCCTCTCCTCTCTTCATCCTCCCTCCTTCTCGCTGTCGCACAAGCGTCACAGCTCAGACGCACGCTCCTTCGAAAAAGCGCCACATAGCTCATAACAGCTTTTGGCCTTTTTTTCTCTTCACGATCTTTGCTGCGTCATTTGACTCTAATTCCTTTGTTTACTTGTCAGCTTTCTTGTGTATTCCTTTCTATTGCTGCCTCTTCTTTCGCCTCTCTTCTCCCCCGTCTACGCAAACAAGCAGACACAGACCTTCTACTTTTCTCTTCTTCTTGGCTTCATTATCACCAGTTTGTTACCGTCTCCCTTTTTGCTCTCGTATTCGCATTTGCGCCGTCCCTATTCGCCTCCAGCCCAGCGTATGCCGTCAACCCCCTCCAATCCTGACTCCTGCAGACTCCATACATGCAACCTCAGCCTCTAATTAACATCGAATCAGGAGCATCTCCCGCCCCCCACTCAGCCGTGCGACCACGACATCAGTTCTGGGCTCGACATCGACTCCTGCCCTGCACGTCACCGACTTCGACACTCGCGAGCGACGCCCGTCTCTTCTCTCTCGGCGCCTCCGCCGCGGGACTTCCAGGAGCCCGTCTCCCCAACCCAATGCGTCCAAGGAGGCTGTAAGCGAGATAGCTCCCCTCCCCGAGCTCCCAGCCGCGGCCAGGACCACCGCTTCCCCTGCCATCCACTCGCCGTCGCGCCTCACGACGCTCCCTCGACCCTCGACGAGCAGCGACAGATACGGCCCCGTCATTGTAAACACGCCGCCGACGCCCGTCGAACGAACAAATCCCGCCGCCTTACACCTCGACAGGAAGCTGCCACCTGTCATCTCGGAGCCTTCTGCAGCTGGGGATGGCGCATCTCCCCCGTCCTCCTCTTCACAAGCCGTAAACGTACATCGAAGATCAAAGTCGGGATCCGCCGCCACCATCGGGCCCAGCAAACTTTCCAACATCACACTTGCGTCGCCGCTCACGCCCACCCCCGAGAACGGCCAGCCTCAGCCTCCAAACTCGGCGGGATTCTTCTCGTCCATGTTCTCGGTTGCCCAGAACGCTGCAAGCACGATTACGAGCAACATCCAGGGCGGCGGTATAGGGATCGGAGGCAACAAGAGTCGGACGAATCTGACGTCTAAGCCACAATCATCCCCTGCTGAGGTCGACGGAGCCGAGACCCCACTGCCCGAGCCTCAGTCGAGCGACGGAATGGATAAAAAGGAGTCGACAAGCAAGACGATCGGAACTGGCGACCTTAGCTTGAGCGCACTCGGCATCATGGAGCCCTCAACGACTACAACAACCCTCGAGACGTCTCGATTCCCAGACCTCAACGATACACGGGCACGATCAGAGTCTGCCCCGGCTGATACCCAAGCCAGAGGCGGAGACGAGAGCATTGACGAATTAACTGGCAGGCCCAGGTCGCTAAATGAGGCGAACAATGGCGAGCAGGAGCAAGGATCCTCGCAGTCTGACCAGGCCGATGGCAAGGATGAGCTCAAGAGCGATGCACAGAGGAAGCGCGGAAGCTCTACTGCCACCACGCACACGGTCGCGCCGCCGGCGCCAGCCGGCCCAGCGCCAAAGCTTACGGGGTTCGCCATTGCTAGTAAGAAGAGGAACCGCGATTTCCACACATTCTTCAAGAGCGTGCCAGACGACGACTACCTTATCGAGGACTACAGCTGCGCGCTGCAGAGAGAGATTCTTGCCCACGGCCGCCTCTACGTCTCGGAGGGCCACCTCTGTTTCAGCAGCAACATTTTGGGATGGACGACAACGCTGGTCATGAGCTTTGACGAAATCGTCTCTGTGGAGAAGAGAAGCACTGCACTGGTGTTCAAGAACGGCCTGATGATATCGACGCTGCATGCCAAGCACATCTTTGCCAGCTTCACAAGCAGAGACGCTACGTACGATCTGATTGTCAACATCTGGAAGCTTGGCCACCCGACCCTGACGAGCACGCTCAACGGAGTGCGGCTGGAGGGCACCGGCGGCGATAAGACGGAGAAGCTCGACGTCGAGGCCGCTAACCTCGAGCCGGAGACGCCGGCCGGATCCGATTCCGACGAGGACAGCGATGAGGGCGACGAAGACTTTTACGAGGAGGACAGCGACGGTGCCCCCGAAGCTCAGGCAGCAGATGCGGGCACCGGTGCTGGCGGAGATACCAGCAAGCCTCCTCGAAAGGTATCCGGCGCTGTCGCCCCCAGCGCGGCCCCGACCGACGGGGCCGCCGAGGGTCAAGCTCCCGCAGGCGGCCTCGGATCGTTCCCGGGTCCTGCGACTCATGCTCCGACCGACTGTGGGGACTCTGACACGCACTACGACAAGTTTCTGGCGGACGAGGTCGTCCCGGCTCCGCTGGGCAAGGTCTTCAGCATGCTCTTCGGCGAGTCATCTGCGGAATGGATGGGCAAGTGGATTACAGAGAACCAAAAGTGCTTTGATCTGCAGTTGGAGGACAAGAAGGGCCTGGGTCCGGACAACCGCTCTCGCGGCTTCACTTACATCAAGCCCCTCAATGCCCCGATAGGACCCAAGCAGACAAAGTGTATTGTCACGGAAACGGTGGACAACATCGACTTTGAGAAGGCGGTCACCGTAAGCGTGGCCACGCAGAATCCCGATGTTCCTAGCGGCAACATCTTCCGTGTCAAGACCAAGTACTGTCTCTCGTGGGCCGAGAACAATGCCACTCGCGTGCAGGTCAACTGTACCACGGAATGGAGTGGCAAGAGTTGGCTCAAGGGTGCGTAATCTCTTTGTTTTCCTGTCATCGCACTCGTACTAATATGAACATGTAGGCACCATTGAGAAGAACGTCAACGAAGGTCAGGCTCAGTATTGCAAAGACCTATTTGCGGCGTTGAAGGCGGCAGTTTCGAGTAGGCCTCGATCGTCTACCAACAACGGCGTCAAATCGAAGAAGAAGGGCAAGAAGAGCAAGACCCTTCAGTCATCCACCGAATCCATCAGCACTACTACGCGTGAAAAGAAGGAGGAAGCCAACTGGGGCCCGTTGGAGCCGGTGCGCCCCATCCTGGAGCCCATTGTCGACATCCTCAAGCCGATTCTCACGGGCAACGTCGTCTACGGGCTGCTGGTGGGCTTGCTGGTTGCGAGCTGGTTCGGGTTCGGCCTCACGCCCAGGAGTAAGAGTCCAGCGTCGTATGGACCTGATCCCGCCCTCCAGAGCGCTTATAGGCTTGCGGCGTACGACGAGATGTGGCGCCGGGAGGACAGCGAGCTCTGGGACTGGCTAGAGGAGCGAGTAAGCCTGGAGCGTCTCTCGGTGGAGCGGTCAAACGCTCGCAGACGAGAGGCAGACCCTCGAATCTTGGAAGACAAGCTGAGAGAGGAGCGCATGGATGAGCGAGAAGTGCAGGAGGCAATTCGAGTGACGGAGGAGAAGCTCAAGGTGTTGAGAGAAGTCATGGCGAGAGGCAAAATACTATAACGGTATAGTGAACGCTCTCGCTATGTACACATTCTTTCTGTTTTTCTTTTTTTGTTTTTGTTTTATCCATTCTTCTCACCTTTTCCTTTTTCATGTTGTCCGGTCTCACACATACAGGACAGCGCAGAGCATAGCAAAGCGCGGGAGAGCACAGCAAAGCACAACACACATCACGGCGTCATATCATCATGGTAGAGCCCTTGTTTTTCTTTAGTCAAAGCATTTGTCTTGGCATCTGTATATAAACAGTACGGAGTACATGTTATTGGGCGGGCCCGAAAAGTGTGGGAAACCATGAGTTCTCAGTTGTTTGTCTGCCATGAGGGCGTGGGCTTAGTTGATGTACTTGTTTCCTAGAGTTTGTGTGCGATTGTGTCAGCGATTTTTTTTTGAATTACAAGTTATTGCCTGGATTTCCCCATTTGAACATATGATGGGCTCCGGTTGTGCAGTAGGTGTCCTTGTTGGTAAAATTGCCATCAATTCTCAGCTTATTGGATGATTCTGGATTACTGGATTTCATGCATGTTGGGTAGCTGGAAGTGAGGGACCTGAAGGGCGAACGATGTTACCACAAGAAACAGACTAGTATGGGACTATCGCCACGTTGTGCTGACACGCGGGATGAATCAAGTAAAAGCAACCCAAGCCAACTGCCCAAGATAGGTATTTAGACTCGACTATCGTGGAAGTTCCGCGAGAAGGATTTCGTTGTTGCTTCTTGCGGAGGAGGCATCCAGTCTGCTGATAGGATAGCACGGTACTTTCCGTTCCATTCCATTCGACATAATTTCTCAAGTTCAATTTTTTTTTTTTTTTTTTTTTTTTTTTTGCAATTACTGGAGGAAGACAAGGACAGATCCGGAATGTTTGCCTGATTCTTTTTGGTTGTATATACCTTAGTGTGGTGTGTCGGGGCTGCCGCCGCCCCCTCCTCCGTCTCACATGTTCGGAATCGGAGTGAGGGTGGGACAGAGACAGACTAAAGAGGTCGAGTCAGCCTTGTGGAGGACCGTGTAAGTGCCTTGTGGGTGGGCTTTTGGGGAAAAAAAGAAGAAAAAAATACATTTGCATGTCCCGTCCTTGTCCTACTTATTTGCCTTGGGTACATGTGTTCATCTAGGTAGTAGTACTAAGTTGCGCGGAATGAGCCACTATTGATGGATTGTCATGTTATGTTGGTCTCGGTGTGGCTTGGCGGCTTGTGAAATGTCCTCCGTTGAGGTACATAGGATACAGAGCCGTAACGGTTATGGGTACGAAGATGATCTTGTTGGCATGAGTTCTGGGGGAATGATGTGCTTAGGGATCGAGGTTCGTAGGCACCTTAGTCTAAGTGGCATAATTGGAGACGTTGTCGCCGGCTACTAAGCCGTGCCGTTGAATGGCTGCCTTGGGGATGATGGTGCAAGGACGCGCGACGAGGAGGATTGGGTTTTTCGTGTTTCGGTGGTACGGGTCCAGGAACAGGAAAAACAAACAAATAAATAAACAGTATACTTCACAAGATACCGCGGAAATTGGGTTGATGGGAGACGCTGATAGGAGAAGAGAGGAGAGAGCAGTACGCAGCGTTGGGAAGGGATTCTTGGATTTGGGCTGGACGATGAACTATTCACAGAGAAGGCGGTCTCAGCAGTGGCAACGACATTTTCCATCTCCTTTACAACTATGGAATCTAGTGTCGGGGATTTTAATATACTAGTACTTGTAAGCAGCACTGAGCTGATATTCAATTTATATAGTCTGGGTCAAAACATTTGGGTTGGGCCCCGTATGTGCTTGATCGCCCGCAGGTTGGGAAGCCCTCGGGAATAGGTTCAGGGCTGGTTAGGATCACAAGCTCGAACGGCCGACATTACATGCAGAGCAAAGAGAGATGGAAGAGGAAAACAGAAAGGAGACGGAGAATGGAACAGAGAGAGAGAAAAATCACCCCACTTGGTTGTTGGACAAGAGTTGACGTGGCTTCGCCTTAGAATTGCCAGCAAAGAGACTCCAACGTGCGCCAAAGCACATGTATGGAGCACGGTAGCATCACGTCTCACCTTGCTTGTCCCCTTTGCCCTGCGTTTTACGTGTTAGTTTACTCTTTGCGATTGGGAGCGTGTTGACGGCAGGCAATTGTCTGTTGGGCCCAAGGCTAATGTCGTGTATGTAATGGAAGGGCGTGGTAAGGGGGTTTGGGCTTGTTTGTTGTTGATTATGCGTGAAAGGCGGTCACCGTCTTGGTCGGTATGGGTGAAGCTGGCGGTGGCTGTCGTGCAGATGCTGCTGCTGTTTGTATCTTTGTTATTGGTTCTGGTGGTGGTTGTATCGCCGTCTTGTCTGTCGTGATGTTAGTGCTTGGTAGGTACCTGTAGGACATTGAATACTTGATGCTTTGACAGGAAGCAGGAAAGTGGGTGTTGTAGAGAATACTTTTGTGTCCGTAACTGAGACAAACCAGCAACAACGCGACGACTTGAAGAATACCTTACTAAATCGACAGCGACAGGCATGGTAAAATGTCAACGTCATGCTGGCTCTTGAGATGCCGGTCTGTCCAGTGGTCAGATTCTAGCGGCAGCCTGCGCCTCAGCTTTATCTGGTGTACCTGGATGTGGCGCAGCTGCCCCCTCGGCTAAGGCCTGAGGTGAGATGCCTGTGATTGGGGCTGAACTGGCTGGAGAGGGAAGGATCGAGGGATACACATCTGATAGCATCGCGATCCTCGGGTTCCCCTTCTTACACTTGGCTCGGCTTCACGGAATCAAACCCAACAGGCCCGGCGTTGGCGATGCCTTGCGCTGACAAAACAGGACAAGACGAGATGATGCGAACCAACAACAAGAGCCGCGTGATGCTCGTGATCGCTCGGCGACAGGCATCACACAGGTCAAGCCACAGTCGGGGGCCCGATTTGGGGATGCACGGCGCAGGGATCAGCCTGGCAGCATGAAGCGGGAATTGGCCCATCAGGAGGATTGTTCCCCCCCTCCCTGCCCTGCCCTGCCCTCCCTCCTGGGGCCGTCCGGCCGCCTTACGAGGTCAAGTCGAGCATATCGCATCAGCCGCGGAACCGGTGGGCATGCACCAAGCCGGGCCAGACCACAGACAGCCCCAAGAGGAGAGGAGACACCACCTGGAGGGAAATAGGCCAGACCCCTGCTGCGAGTCCTACTACTGAGCTGCCAAAGTCCTAGATGTCCTCCTCTCATTCGCCCGTGCTTTTGCTGTAGGACTGGCCCTCTTCTCGCCGGCTTGCAACGAGCTGCCTCCAAGGCGTCCAGCGTCGCGGCACGGATTCGACGTCGAGTTTCGCGCGCAATAGCCAGCCATGGACGGTGCCTGAAAAGGTTGGCCGCTCAGCATTCTCTCACTCTCATTCTCCCCTGACTTTGCTTGTTGCCTCTCGCTTTCTTACACTTTGCCACACTATTCTGGGGGGCCCCCTTTCAGAGCATCGAATCTCCACACAATAGGGTCCCTTGGTTGGGGGAAACAGACCCAAGCAAGCCTGCGTCTGTACCTTGCCCTCCGGGACAAGCAGCATAAACGGGCCTTGCTCTGCCTGCCTTACCGCGCTGCGGCACAGGTACCTTATCCTTATGCCCGGGCCCGGTTTCGTGACGAGGACCCCGAGAAGCGCACAACACACCAGCCAAGGGGTCGGGCCATAGCTACGCTGTCCCGTACAATCACAGGACAGATCACAGACCGCCATGGAGAACAAGAAGGTCGACGACCCTGGCGCCCTGGCCTTACGGCGTCTGGTCCGAAGCCCAACCGGCGGCCGTATAGGTCCCAGGCGGTCCTCGACGATTGTTTCCTCCAGCAGCTCAGCATCCTCAGTCACTTCAACAGTCGACGCCGAGATGCCAGCTTCATGTGTGTAAGTAACAGCAAAAGAAAGAAAAGAAAAGAATCCCTTTTCCCCCCAGCGGTTGGAGATGGGGGACCCGAGAGGGCATCAAGTGAGAACGGGAGGGAACCGGGGACCAACGATCCGTCGATATCCTCGTTTCTCATCCTTCTGCTCCGCCTCATCGGCCTCCCCATCTTCGATTTTTTTCCTCTCTCTGTTTCTTCCCTTGTTTTTATCTGGGTGTGTCTGTGGGTGATCTCGTTGCTACGTACTGACATGTCGTCTTCATTGCTCTCCTCCCCTGAAGCTCACGCAACACTTCGAGCGACGAGTGTGCCTTGCACAGGTTCATCGTATGGGCCGCCGTCAAACGCAATGCCTGCCAGAAGATGACCCCCGAGGAGCGGCGCGAGTGTCCCTTGCTACGCTGCCGCAAGAGGTTCCCGAATCACGAGCTCATGCTCCAGCACCTGTACTCGTGCGACCACCTCGCCGGCGGCGAGTACTGGTGCTATGACTGCGAGAGGCCCGAGCAGCTCAGCGATGTAAAGTGCAGGCGCTATCTAGGTCATCCGTCCAAGAGGAGGAAGATTATGACCATGGCCAAGAGCTTCTTCAGCTCGCTAGGCCACAAACCAAAGTCCCACGGCCTGGCTCTGTCCATGGGCATGAACTTGGGCATGGGCAGCAGTGTTGGAGACGGTGGCATCGGGCAAGGCAGCAGCGGCAGCGGCGACGGCGGCAACAACAGCAACGCTGGCGGGGGCATGGACGAGCCGCCAAGTTACGACTCTGTGCTCTTCACGCCGCCGCCGCCCCCGCCCCAGGCCGAGCTCTTCTCGACCGAGATACATGAGATCGGATCGAGTGAGGTGCTGCTCCCCACTATCCCGGAGTGTGAGACCGAGACAGAGCCTATACAAGCGGTACCCGCCCCTAGGATGATCCCCTGTCTCCCCCCATCCACATTCCCCATCTCACCACCAGGCTCCCACCCGGGAGCCGTGCCGCTGCCATCGACTATGGAAGCAGGCTTCATAAATTGGAGGCCGTCACCACCATCCCCCCCGACCGTGGCGCCTCAAAGCCTCATGAAGCCCGCCACAGCGCGGTTGGTCGATCGCCCAACCCTCCAGGTCAACACCCACCTGGACCAATACCGCGGCCAGGCAAGGCGACGCAGCAAGGCCCTGGCCCCGAGCTCGTCGGTCCGGTCAACCAGCAGCACCGACAGCACCGACAGTACGGAAAGCACCGCCAGCTACAACATATCGCCCATGTCAGGCTGGTCCAGCGGGTGGACAAAGACGTCTGGCTTCGAGTCTGCCTTGACGTCGCCCGACGACCTCATCAGTCCCCAGAGCCTCCTGCCTGCCGGTCCCTTTGTCACCAGTCACACTACTAATACGGCGGACGCGTCGTCGATGAGGCCAGTCCCCTTTAGCAACTCCGAGTTTGAGAACATAGTAGCCAACTCGTGCCCGTCTGAGCTACCCGCCGACATTCCCATGTTTGATGACCTGCCCACCACCACCTCCTCCTCCATCGCCATGGATCCTCATAAGACGCAGGCACCCATGGGCTTGGACCACTCTGCCTTCTCCTTCAACACCAATCTCCAGTTCCAGCTGCCACTAGAGCACCAGCTGCCGCCTACCAATACCGTCGATGACCTCAGCCTACATGTACCACCACACCCATCTCACCAGCCACCACTGCCGGCGCTATCGTCGTCCCATTCCTCTCCACAGCAGACGTCCAATAATGCAGAGTCTAGCATGATGCAGCATGTCGGCTCTTCCGGCCTCACTACCACCACGCAGTCCCTGGCCAGATCAGCCCAGGACGCTCTCCGCATGCACATTGTCGAGTCAAGGAGCAAGATTGACGACATCAACGAGAACCGCCTCATGGTGCAGCTCTGCCAGATGCCACTGGCTTCCGTCGCCACAGTCGGTCTGGAAACCATGGTGGACATACTCGAAGGTCGCCAAGCTTCCTCCCCTCTAAACCTCCTCTGCTTCGTCCACGTCGTCTTCTCCCTGTCTCTGGCGGTTCACGAACAAGAAGCCTCCAAGCACGTTGGTGCCCTCTTCAAGCAAGCGCTGCTGTACAGCGACTGGTTTTCGGACGACGACAAGATGCTCTTCATCGAAGTCGTTTACACCTTGTGGAAACCTAGCGCAGTCCGCGACGAGGACATTATCGAGCTGTTAAAGTCAAGGCCATCCATTGCAGAGGCCGCCGTGGCCAAGGGCAAACAGCCCGAGCGTTCACTCCCGGAACTGAGATCCGACCCGCTGGTACTAGTTGCGGCCTATTTCTTAGATGGTACTCGCCCTCTCTCCTCCTGCCTGCCCTCCCTCCTACTACCGATACTGACATGCTTCTACAGAGCTCGAGTACATGGCGCTTAGCGACAGCAATTACAGTGGACAGCCGTTTGAAATTGCCCTGCAACACATAAAGGACAGCGTCGGGGCGACCCACGATTCGCCGTTTGCCATTGCGGCACGGTTTATGATTGTGAACATCTTTGCTCATCAGTACTCCCACTTTCCCGGGTTTGAGCTTGGCATGGAGAAACTCATTGGCCAGATCGACTCTGGCGAGGTGGCAACCGTCCGACGGCTGGAGCTGGAGCTGATGCAAGCTGGAAAGGTAAGACGGGAGAGCCGCGTTTGTTTTCGAGACCGCATACGATGCATGCGAGAGGAGCAGCGATGAACTAACAAGAGGTGAAAACATAGACATACCTGCCTTCCGACGCATTTTTTGACGACTTTATCGAGGTGGTTCGACGGCACACGGATTCGCTCTACACGCAGGGCCCTTACTTCAGTCCACGGTCGACATACCATCGATGCGGTATCCAGCTTCTGTTGAGCGAGTACAGCAGAAGCCCCGTCGCCTTAGAGGCAGGGGTTGAGCCGTCGGGGGCTTCCGGGGCGGCCCATGGAATTGTGGGTGTAGTGCCCGGTGGCTTCGACAGTTTCTTCGACGATATGGTGAACCTCACCCCGGGCCCTGGGTTAGACGTCGACAACATGACTGGCGCCTCATCCATGGAAGCGGCTGAGTGGACAGTAGAGGAGCCGGCATTCGTCTCACCAGCAGCAGCAGCAGCAGGCAGTGCCGCCGTAGCCACTCCCGTGCCGCAGGCGGACGAGGAGGCGCTGATATCGCCCGTGGTCGCCACGCCCAGCAAGGCGGACCCTTCGGCATCGACGTCGACCAAGGTGGAATCGGACAACTGCTGCAAGATCTGCGGCTACCGACCCAAGGGCGACCCGCGGTGGTTCGCGGGCAGCATGGCCAAGCACATGCGCACGATCCACAGCGACAACCCGCAAATCTTCCGGTGTCCCTACCCGGGCTGCACGAGCCAGTACAGCAAGCGGGCGGACAACCTGCGGCAGCACCAGATCGAAAAGGGGCACTTTGTGGACGACGAGGGGAAACAGGGGCGGCGGCCGCGGAAGCGCAAGAGGCCGTCGGAGGGGGGCGGGGAGTGTTGATGTGCTCCTTTGCTCCTTTGCCTTCTTTTGCTTTTTTTCTTTCTGTTCGGCCTTTTGCTATAATGGTTTGGTTTGCTGTCCTTTTTTTCTTTTGAGTGGGATGGTTTCCTTGTGTCTTTCCTTATACCCTCTTCTTCTTTGTTTTTGAGCTGGCTATTTGAGTAATTCTGCGCGCTTTGGTTTGGGACTTATAAGAAAGCAAAGAGCAGGCAAAGGCGTATATATACACATTGGATTGGGACATTTGGGGCCTAAAGAAG